TAAAAATGAGATGAGCTGAACGCTACTAGCGACAATCATTTAACAAGCATTAATCCAGCGCACGAATCCAAATCCACCAAGACTTACTTTTTGCAGTAACACGTGTTTGAAACTAGTTTTCTATGAGCATATAAAATAGGACAGAAGGTGTTAAAAATTATTTCTGCAACGAGCATCATGGTATCAGCTGAAGGTAAGCGTTTTCGATACTTGTCGACTCTCAAAATAACGACTTTAAAACTGAGTTGCTACATTGTTGTAGAAGCCAAGTCCGTTCTCAAACCACTTTTTGATGCTTGCCTAAAAAGTCGGGATGAGCACGACTTTGAGACGGTAAGCCCTTTTTGGCTTCAAACTAATAGTGGAGAACACACAGCAATTTCTGCAGGCCGTTGCACACTTCGATCCCAATGCTGTATTCGTGCAAAAGGGAAAGAGGATAATTTTTGGAAGAGAACGTAAGAGAGTTAAAGTAGTAATCATGTTTGCCATTTTTGTTTCAGAACTGAAAAAAGAGCATACCGCTTTCAAAGAAATAACTGGTAAAAGAGATGAAAAGGTGGGTCATTCTTTGGCGTACGGATTAACGCTACTAAGTAAATTTTCTAGATTACCAATGAACAATATGCATTGAGCGGAGATTTTGGAGTAGTCAGCGCCGACTATGAGATAAAAACGGAAAAAATCGGAGAGCTCAAAGGAAGTTTCATGCAGATCTGGCGCAAATCCGAAGGAAAGTGGCTGGTCCTACACGAAGAATTTTCGATGGATTTGGAATTTTGAATTATAGCTTAGCTATATTTGGAATAAACGTTCTACACAGATTAAGCATGAGTTTCCATGTACAAAAGCATTTCTCAGCAAAACCTCTGAAACAAAGAGGTTGTTCTTGGATGCAGCATGATGAAATCGTTCCCGCAAAACAGGGGCGGTATATATCAACTTCTCTGAAGGAGGATAGCATATGGTTGAATTCCGAATTTAGAGGCTTAAAAATTTGAAAGTGACTTGATCGCTGTTTCTAAATATGCTCTTCATACTGCGAAGCTTCACCTGGAAACGAGTTTTTAGTCTTGAAATCAGTCGGACGGG